CACACACACACACACACACACACACACACACACACACATGTAACCTGAATAATGTGTGCTGTATTTCTAGAAGGCCTTTCCTGTTGTTTCCTTCAGACTGCAGACTTTCTGACAGCCTAGAGTCTGTTCATATCACCCCTGTCTGCTCTTCCCTCCTCTGTAGGATGAATATTACTGACACAGTTCCTGCTCCATCCACCCTTTGCTAAAATGTCTTGATGACATCAAGACTTGGATGGCTGCAAACTTCTTGAGTTTTAATGATCAGAAGACTGAGGTCATTGTGTTTAACCCAAGTTCTACCACTGTCACTGATCCTGTAAACCTGCACTCCCTTCAGCCACATCTAAAGCAGTTGGTTATCAATCTCGGGGTAGTGTTAGACTCTGACTTTAAGTTTAATGAACAGATCAACTCTGTTCTACAAAAAAGCTTCTTTCAGCTAAGGCAGATAGCAAAGCTTAAGTCCGTTCTGTCCAGATCCGACCTTGAAAAACTAGTCCATGCATTTATTACAACCCGGCTGGACTACTGTAACTCACTTTATGTTGTGGTTAGTCAGGCTTCACTCTCACGTCTCCAGCTCGTACAAAATGCTGCAGCTCAGCTACTAACAGGAACTCACAGGTTTGAGCACATTACTCCGGTTCTGTCCTCCCTTCACTGGCTTCCTGTGTGTGTCAGAATCAATTTTAAAATTCTCCTGCTGACATTCAAGTGCATTAACGGCCTTGCACCATCATATCTCTCCGACCTCCTTCATCCTTATACTCCTCGGGCTTTGAGATCATCAGACCAGCTGCTTTTGGCCGTACCAAAAACCAGCTGAAGCTCAGAGGAGATCGAGCATTTTCAGTCGTGGGCCCTAAACTTTGGAATAATCAAACAAGGCCACCTCAGTCTCTGCTTTTAAAGCTCTCCTAAAAACACATCTGTACTCACTGACATTTAACACAGGGTGATCGGATTTAGATCTGGTTTTTCATTGATGCTGATTCTGTTTATGCTTTTGTTATTATTCCTATTTAACACAAGGTCATCAGATCTGATTTAGTATTTCATTGTTTCTAATAGTTTTTGGTTTTATATTTTTATTCCATGTGCTGTAAATATATCTTGCTACTTTTTATTTGATGATGTGATATTTTTGTTAAGCACTTTGGTAACAGTTTATGTTTTAAATGTGCTCTATAAATGAATCTGACTTGACTTGACACCATTTATGACGTTGGTCTGATTTCCTTTTGGAAATACAAATTTCAATCTCTGGTATATAAACCCCCATTCACACCCACCGCTTTGTGTTCTTTGAGCCATCTGTGAACATTTTTAAGTAACTAATAAATTACTCTTACTGGTTTTCACGCCTATTCATTTAAATTCCATTTTATTTTCATTTCAATTATTTTCATGTCTACTTTAATTTCTGGGATTAACCAAGGAGAAATTAGAGTGCTTCATCTCTGGTACCTAAATCCAATGACACCCCGAACCCAGGTGGTTATGTTGGTGCCCGAGCCGTGTTGAGCATGACAGAGTCCAGGTTCCGGGTCGTACCTGAGCCGTATTTGACGTCGTGGGAGTGCAGGCGCACGTTGTGTCTGGTGTTCAGCAGTTTGACCAGCGAGCCGCAGGTCACGTAGCTCAACTCGGAATCTCTCCCGTCACATCTGGACCACAGCAGCAGCACCAGCAGGGACCGGAGAAATCCACGAACCAAAAGAACACACTCCATCGCAGCAGCAGCTCGATTCTACCGGACCGGTACTGGGGACAGGCCAGGCACTCTACTCCACCAGCACCTCCGACTGTATCTCTGTATTCCAACCAATCAGCGCGTGACAAGTTCAAAACACGGAAACAATTGTCGGCCTGTGATTGGTCAGATTGTTCAATACAGTCATTGAGGGTATGTTCCTCATCAGTTAGCCGTTGTTTGATCCGGCTACACATGGTGACGGGCGGAGGGACGAAATCAACAAACTAGAGAAATTGCATCTGCACAAGTGATCAAATGCTTTTCGGTTTTATTTGGGGAAAAAAAGCCTCCTCTTATTAGGAAAAATGTTATGATCAATAAACTCAATTCAGGTGGCTTCATTGTTTTTGACTTTAATATCGTGCACTCTACTTTCAAAGTTAAATGAATCCAAGATATCTGGCAAAATTTTAATTCTATGTGGCACTGAATCCCTACACATATATTTAAATTCTTGGGTGGCCTAGATTTTTTGTTAAGATGCAACTACAAAATAGAAAAACTTCCTGTAAATTTATCCAACTTTCATAAACAATTACTTTTATGCTGGATATTGGTTAATAAACACGACTTTTCCTCTCATAAATGTCTTATTTGGAACAACCAAGATGTTTTATTCAAGTGTAAATCATTATTTTTTAAGAACTGGGTGGATTATGATATTTTATTTGTAAAACAATTGTTTAACAAGGATGGACAAATGTTTAGGTATGGTGAATTTATTTCTGAATATAACATCCCGGTAACCCCTAAAGACTTTGCTGTTGTTTTTGATGCCATCCCAGCAGGTTTAAGATTCCTCATATCCACTGCTGATAGAGCTCAAGTCCAACATCCTCTGTTTCCAGAGCTCTTTATTGGAAACTCAGACCCTTTCCTTAGTATTAAAACTGGGTATAAACATATTACAGAAGTAATCCAAAGGAATACTATTAGTAAACCTGCTTCAGTCTTTTTTTGGAATAATCTGTATTCTGATATTGATTGGGAGCAGAAGTGGTCACTGCCAAGACATTTTTTTTTGTTTGTTTCAAATAAGGTCCAGGAGGTGTCTCTTAAAATTTTACACGTGTTATCCTGTAAATTCAATACTGGCTAAATATATTCCAAATATTGATCTTCTTTGTTCCTTCTGTCATCTTTAAGATGAAACATTGACCCACCTTTTCTGGGGCTGCACTTTTACTAAAACATTTTGGTGTGATCTTAACATCTTTTTTAACAGAAAATGTGATATACATGTTACACTGAATGTTCAACATGTTCTCTTTGGTATATCTAATATTAGACCATCTGATAGAATATGTCATTAACTTTCTTATCCTGGTGGGTAAATTCCAAATACATACCAGCAAATACAAAGTATGTTAAACACAAGCCCATCCTCACTGTCTTCAAATCCTATTTGAGCTGCTTTTTGGACTCTTTAAAACTTTGCACTAATTCTAAAGCTATGAAACTTGAAGCCTTATGTGAAGAACTTGATTTGTAACATTTTTTCTCATGAATCCTTTTGCAGTTGTTAACCCCTTACCATTATACTATTACTGTCTGTGATTTTATATTGTTTATCTGTAAATAAAGTTGTTAAAAAAAAGAGAGAGAGAGAGAGAGAAACTCTTCATTTTGTTGAGGAACCTGTGACCAAGTAAAGATGTTGGATATCTGATTTGAGTTAATGTTATTTCTAAAAATGGCCCACAGTTTGAAAACAGTTTTAATTTTGGCCCCCTTTTGTAAGTGAGTTTGACACCGTTGATCAAGGGTGTAAAACTCATTTTCATTTTGGGCCACATCAAGCTCAGTGTTGAATGAATGTGTGTGTAGTAGAGTGCTGTATGAATGTGTGTTAAGTAGAGTGCTGTATATGAATGTGTGTGAAGTAGAGTGCTGTATGAATATGTGTGAAGTAGAGTGCTGTATGAATGTGTGT